GTCAATTTATAAAATTAGGTTTCATTCCTCAACTGAATTTTAAATTTTCAAAGTAGCTGGAAAATGGCTGAAATATTTTGGTTGTGTATTGGCTACTTGAAAAGCCTGGTGAAGAAATAGTCGATCTGATAGTGAATATCTACTTACTGTTCAAAAACTTGATACTAAGGGGCACAGTCCTTATGCTAAATTGATTACTCATAATGAAGGTATAATAATAATTACATATTTCGTAATTATTTATAATTTAATAACCATGACCATGGATCTCATGGATTATTTGATATAGTCATCCCAATCTGATTAGTTCTTTCAAGAGATGTTTGATGTCAGCAGCTATTGATAATGGTGGGCAGGCTCGGTTCACACACTCTGATAGATAAACATTGTACGTATACTAGCGATGGACATGTTTTAATCATGTTTTCAGTTTACCCAACAGCTCAGTGGTTACATATGTTATTAGTTTATTTAAGACTCAGTTTAGAGGTATCATATTTTTATTCACAGTCCCTCAATCCCTAGAGGGACTGTACTTTATTGTATAGTTTCTTTTATTATAGCAAAGAAACAAACATGTAGATACAAGCAAGCAGCCTTGTATGGCCACACTTATTCAAGGGCATATACATGTAAGGTTTCCTATTTTATTATCAAACCTTGCTAAAATTTAATCCTGATTATTTTATTTTAAAACACATCATGACACCATACACCACCACCCAACCCCACCCTACCCAGATTTGGACATCCACTCCAGACACACATTAACAACATACACAATTTGTTTTCCCCCAAAAGGGATGCCACCTGAACTGTGTTCATACAGTCCACATTTTACACAAAATAAAAGATTTACCTCAAAAACATCACAGGTAGGGACAGTAGTGTGCCTTTCCATTACCACTATAGATGCTACAAAGTATCCGGCCCCATTCTAACGTAATTTCCCTTTCCTGCACGTATAAAGCCGGAAATGAGGAATATACTTTCAACACAACTCCACTGTTGGAAAGTTTCACACTCCTCCTTGACTAATGTCGCATACAACATTTCATACTGACATAACAATACTCATGCAAATCTTATCTACAAAGCCAGACATAATGTAATTTGCTTTTGAATAATATGATAGGGCCTACGTGTCTGTGTAGGCACCTGCTTTGTATAACTAGAGTAAACAGGTAGACTATATGTATATATGTTAACCATGCACTACATAGAAACTATGGGAAACATAATATAGCTACCAGTAGAACTGCTTCCAGTTTACAACATAAGTAGACATACAACTAGCTATACAAGCTACATTATATCGGGCATAACTACAGGAAGACTTGGCTGGTTGGCTCTGAATAATGGCAGCCAAATACACAATAGCAGTGCGTACTACCAGTGACATAGCATAGCTTACAAACTTAGTATACAAAGAGAGTACTGTTGTACACAAGCCATTCATGATATGATCACCTATCAGATAGACAACAGTAAATTATGTCTGTTTGAAGCATAACATCTTAATTGCACTGAAAATTCAACCATTCAAGCACTAATTTATATTGGGCAACAAATATAATTGTTTTGTGTACAAAACACAGATTTCAATATAATACTAAAATGGAATCAACTTTTAATAAAAAATGTTCTTGTTTAAATAATTTCACTTAAAGGGTGATGCTGGACAAATAAAAATAGTTTTATCCATGGTGAATAAATACTACATTGTTTTATAGCATAAATGCCAACCTGTTTTGTGGGAAAATATTGTGTTAGTGTGTCTTTAGGAACCCAGTAAAATTGTCAAGATATGCTACCCCACGTGTATTAATGCATTCACTCTTTGTTCAGTTGTTACATGTATGGTATATGCAGCAAACCTACAAATGATTACTGTGAAAACTGAAATCAGTTGGTATGGCTACAAATCTAGCCCTGCAATATAGGTTGTGGTATTTAATTAATCACCAAATCAAACTTAATTTACACTGTTGTGATTACAAGGCCATATAAATCTATTATGAATATACATGAGTATATTTCTCAATCTTGATTTCAGAATTCAATTAGAAAGCATGATTTTTCATGAACTCCCAAAGCCCTCATGATGCTTAAAGGGGTCGGTGAAAGGTTTTCTGCAGATTATACAAAGTGAGAAAAACAAATTAAAAATATAATATCACTGCATGACAACGGGTGGTAGTTTAATATTTAGTTGGGATTAAAGGAAATAACAGCAAAGGAGAGTCACATCGATTAAAACACTAGTAGCTTACTTAACAGACCTCAAGTAGGCCAACAAATCTTAGTGTCACCTAGCAATCGAATTAGTCAACCTAATAATTAAATTGTAGGTTTCCGTGGCACAAGTATCTATTAATAGCCAGATTTATATTACAATTATTACTCTGCTCTTAAAAGGACAAATGGATACGAGTAAATAATAGAATAATACATGTTTGAACTAAATTATAATATGGGTTTCAATAATCCGCATTGCTGAACTAATTATGCAGAATGAAGAACACAAAATTGAATTATTAATAGGATCAAAGTAAAGAGATATTCAAGAGCACATTATTCTTACAGTTTGCAGTCAACAAGAGAGTGTGAACATGGTGATTCAAAAATAAAATCAGTAACATTTAAAGCAGACATAGCCAAGTCATGTCGGAATACACGCTGCAGTGCACTCAATATTGCATGACCACCTGTTAATGCATTTCTAAAGCCAGAAATCATGATAAAATATTGCAGAAAAATTTAATTTTGCAAAAAGAAAATATCTCTTAATAATATATGGTGATATATTAATATAATTAACATTTGGTTAGCAGAAATATATTAATTTTAGTGCATTTTATGCTGCATGAATTTATTCACTAGGTTTTAAATTCTCCATTTTGTTTAGGAAAAAAACCCATTTAATTGACAAGGCAAATTGTGCCAGTGAAGTAATTAAGTTCAAATTAAACCCAAGGTCTTTATTGCATCTGTCTTAGTCACACCATAAGAAACAACATAGTGTATGTTTATGGGTATCTGAGTTGAATAAACAAAGGTCAATGTATGCTTTTGTGGGTCAGTGACTAGTCAAATAAATGGTTGACCAAAAGATTGGTAGATGCATGTGATTATATCAGTCCCACTGTATACATTTTATGAGGCTTTATAATGATAATATTTATGTAAAGCCCAAATTCTTGACAACATCATGTTCAAGGGGAATGCACATTATTACCCTGGTCATATACAGTCAAACTGAGTTAAACTTATTTACTGTTTCAACTCCTGGTGGAGCATACAACCCCGGCTGCTATATACATACATAGTTTGGTGCCAAACATTCCATTCTATACCAGGTTTACTCTCAAGTAGAGAGAGGCAGTAGGAGTAAAATATCCTGCCCAAAAATATAGTCCCATGGTATAGCCAAGACTCAAACTCTAAAGTGACCAATGTACCATGATATCTTCGTATTATTGAAACCATGCTGGTTATGCACTGCAAGCCATAAATTTATTTTAAATACCGTAGAACACTTTATTTTCGCTTGGAATTTATTTTCGCTGAAGGGGTGATTCCGTGAAAATAAAATCCAGCGAATATACTTTTTTTCCTATATATCACATTAATCTCATCAAAAATTAGTGAAAATAATTTCCAAGCAAAACACTCAAAAAGTTTTTTCAGCGAAAATTAATTCCAGCAAAAAAAAAGTATTCCACAGTACCTACATTGTATCTAATTAAATTAACCTTATACAAGTCCCAGTTTTAACCTTGCTTTCCCTGGCAATAACACAATAATTATTAATAACAACTCACTAACAGATGGCTTGGACTACACTTGTATGATAATAATCTGTAACATGCTGTCTCTAGAAGTAGCTAAAACACACCTATGGTGTCAATGTGCATCCTAACACCGGAAATGCATGAGAACATAATAGTTGTCATAGTTACTCCTATTTTTAAGAGGATGATAAAAATACATGTATGTATATAGGGGAGGAATACAAACAATTATGAATATATAAACACACCAGTTGTCATGATTATTTTGTACTTTTTAATATTCAAAATAGATGTGCCTACTTGCAGTTTCAACATGAGAAGCAGAACACCTAAATTTGAAAAGCTGAAAACCGATTACCGGGTATGCACAAAATATGAAACTGGTAAGGTTGGAGATGAATTATGGTATTTCATTTTAGACTGTTCATTCTTTCACACTATGTAACAAAACACTATTGCAGGAATGTGAAATAATTGCAATCGAGAATAACTTTTCAGTAAAACTGTAACATTGCATTTTCAAACTAATTTAAAAATGTGAATCACTAATTAAATAACACAGGTATGCTTAGCTGTTTAGCTATATTGGCAATATTCAAATTCAAAGACGCTTCCATTGGTATAGAAGACATTTAGTCTTCAACCATTCATTTCATCATCATTTTCATAAATAAACTACCAGTAAGGTACAGATTTCTGTCTTTTACTGCATAAAACAAATTCATACCTTTAAAATTATGAAATCCACAGTATCCTATGATTATATAGTGTAATGATTATTGTAACTTATTATATAGTAATTAGTTAGTTTTGCAGAATTTTTTCTGTCACTGTTTTCAGCAGATTCCCTCTCTTCCCAACACACATTTTCTAACAATCTTTGTTTACAAGTGCATACAGATACAACAAAGACAATTTTTACTTTGGATAAAACTACACAAAATGTGTTTATGTATAGTATTGAAGTGTGCAATGTTGACATTCCTGTAATACAAGAAATTTACTTTTTTGTAATATATATTGATACATTGTTTCCACTGGAATGTGTTTTAGAATACTTGTAATACAAAACAAATGCTAAACACAACCATGACCATAATTAGTTTTCCTTAAATGTAATACCAAAGTGAGAAATTATTTTTAAAAAATCACTTCCTGTAACCATAATGACAACAATATTGGTCTGTGTAATAATAATTTACTTACCATTCCAGATCTTTGTCCGTAAACTGATGGGAAAGCCAGGAAATCATCACTGCTATAATCCTCAGAATCATCCCTACTTAGGGTGGATATTGTGCTTGTACTTGAAAGCTTTCTATTAAGACTACGTGGAATGTCTCTCCAGTCAACACTAGGTCCCAACATCCCATTCCTAGTGCAATCATCCTCCGATGGTGTACGTTTCATTTTGTTATTGTTTTCAGGTTCATCATGGCAGTGAATGCTGATCACAACCGATGGAGTTGAAGGTTTCGCATCCTGGCTTTGCTGTCCAGCCATATGTGACGAATCCAATGAGATCTGCTCTAATTTGGGTATTGGTCTTTTGGTGAAAATGTCTGTACTCTCCTGGGGTACTAGTAAGCTGTCAGAAGTCTGTAATTTGGGTCTGGCGACTGCATTACATGGAGAAGAATTGTTGATTTCAGTCAGCTGAATTTCAGATTCCGGCTTTACAAAAACTGAGCCATCACTGTCGGTATTTAGACTATCAACTCTCTCCATAGAGGAGGCATCGTCTAAAGAGATGGATGACTGCATCGGAGAGGATGGGCATGGTGAAATATCTAAGTCTAAACTGTCTTCATAAACATTGTGAGATCTGAGGAGTGTTTTACAATGTTTCAGGCGTTGACACGATTCAGTACTCAATGATGTCTCATTATTGCTCTGAGTGTCCTCTTTCTCAATATTCTCATCTTCCATTTCTATTTTTAACTGCTTTGCATTTTTACTTTCATTGTTAATGGTAGTATGACATTCACAATGATTGATAAAAGACTGTGATTCTGCAGGCATTTCTGTACTCTCTTGGCAAACTTCATTAGGTTTGTTTTTTGCTTGCACACTATCCTCAGATTGTAATGCTTGCCTTGGCATTGGTATGTTATTGTCAGGCACTGAAGATGGTACAGGTGAACTTGGTTTATTATAAACTGTTAAAAGATTATTTTCATCACTGCTGTTTTTCCTGAATGGTTTTGATAATTCTAGAGGCACATGTGATTCAGTCCCTAAGAATTCAGAATTGTGGATTGGTGAGACACACCTCGGGCTAAGATTGGTAGGTGTTCCAGAGTACTTACTGCTTCCGTAACCACTACTCAGGCTGTTAGTCGGTGAAACTTTAGTCTGCGAAAATCTGGTAGGGGCAACCGATTCATAGTTTGTGTTCACAGAGTCACAGGAGTCGAATGTGAGCTTCAAAGTATATGTACTATTTGGAGGTCGCCCAGGAAAAGACGGGTCATATGAGTGTGTACTCACATAGGTTGAAGGCGGAGTTGAAAAGTCGCTCAGATCATTCTTTGAATTCATATAGTACGATTCACGACTGGGCGAAGAGTCACGACTTTTAGTATGATACGTACCGATATCTACACTTTTAACTGTAGTCGTACTGTTATCAGAGGAAGGCGGCCAACATTTAGGACTGGTTCCGTAAATTCGCGATGGAATGTGGTGTGGTGATGTTGATAGTACTGGTACGGGCGAACGGCTATCCGGACTTGGAGACTGTCTACTTCCAGTGTGTTTCTGTTCAAATACTTCTCGTCGTTTTAGCACAGTTCCCGATCCGATGGTTACGGGCGAGCTGTTCATGCGTCTCGACGTGCTTTCGGGAGTCAAACGGTAGTCAGCCGAAGTAAGTCGTCGTCTTGGTGAGGTTGGAAGGTAATCATGCGGTGGCGATAGCATGGATAGTAGAGGTGACCGCCTGCCTGACCTGAACGTTGGTGTCGTTGACCGTTCTTCCATATTGTTACTCTAACGGTTTTCTCTTGTCTTTCAATAAAACAGAATTCGATGAATGATTATTGAGTAAATCTGAACGACGAACAATGTCAATTAGGATAACTAAAATCCGCTAAAATAAAACTACTTCAAGCCTACCAAGGAATAAGCATATTACAGTTCAATAACTCAGTGGGTCATTATCAACACGCGAATATTAACAGACGACATGTAATTTTTAAAAAGATATGAAAGAAGAACGCTTAAACATGTCACATAGTAGTCGCCAAAATAAAAAGACTATGCAGGATGCAGCTTTTCATAAATGAAATATGATATTGCATGAGCTGAGTGGATTTTAATAACACGCCTTGTTCACATCCGCCAAAGTAGTATCATGAATTCAGTTTCAGGGTAAAACCATCTACTGACAACAGCTCGCGACAGTAAAAATACAAAACTTGCGTCTTCTCTTTATTCTAACTGCTGTTATAAATCCTCTATTCAGAGTCAGTGTAGAAAATCTGGCTTGGTTACTTACAATAACAGGAGCGGCTTCAAACAGCTCCGTTGTTCAGACCATTTTGTCTTCCGCGTATGCAAGCTGAATTACTATTGTTATGTAAATAGTTCACCTTTTCCATTAAAACTGGCCAATAGGGGGCGCAATTGACTTCTGTTCAGAAAATGGTTCTCTTTGCTCAAACTTGAAAAAAGGAATAGCAGTTATTATTTGTCTAAAGAAGGATATTGTTCCCCAAACAACCGAAAGTAATTTATTTGTAAGTACACCGTGTGCTATTGTTATGCAAATAAAGTCATGGTATCCAAAGTTTCTGTAAGTGTTTCCACATCTATCGGATAGAGGGACTGTGGTGTTTCCTATCTCTGTTCTATAGAACTTATGGTGTAACAAGCCTCTAGTTATCATCTATTTAGTGTTTATTTATCGCAAAGAAACATTTGTTTTCAGAATATGAACAAATCAATGATAAGTTTTATTTAAATAAATGACATCACGATGTCAAAAACGGCTAATTAAAACGGGAGAATAGATAAGCTTAAGTAATGACAATACTAAACAACTGTTTATAAACAACTAGCAAAAAGAAATCAATAAAGGGCAAAGGGCTTATTAGATATGAATAAAATAACCATATGCACGAAGTGTTAACATGGTAGTATTGGCCACAAACTCGGCTCCATGGCTACTGTGTCCGTGCCTCGGGGAGCCGCCTGCGGCGTATAATAACGTTGAAGGCAGTATAACACTCATGAGGCAGGAATTCGAGTCTATTGTGACCTGTACGTGGATGACATAAAACATCAAACGACTTCAATGTGGAGGTGACCTTATGTTATATACAAATTGAATATTTTAACAGATCTCAATGGTGTAACGAAAAT